GGCGTGTGGTGGTGGGGGGGGGGGGCGGCGCAGGCAATGTCAAGGCTGGCGCTGGTGTTAGGTCAGGAGGTTTAGGGCGCGGTGTAGGGTTTTTGTAGAATGCGAATACGGACAATATGCGCCGTTGCGTTATGTGGATGCGGGGACGACCGGGCGTTCCAACAAGGTTTCTCGCATTCGGCTTCGCTTCGGGAATACGACGTCTCGGCGGCAGATGCCAAAGGGCGCGACCGGCCGCTTAGAGCCTTCCCCAAAATGGCCAGTGGGGGAACGCCTTTGGTGCGACAGTCGCCCAGCAGCGCAATTCTCCCAGCGTGTAGTATGTGTCATTCAAGGATGCCGACATCACGATCGCGTGCGTTTCGATGCAATTGGCATCAACATGTAGAATAGAAAATCATTCGCTATGCAAGTATGGCGGCACCGCCTGCATTGGCCCGCATGCCCCTGTGCTGTTCCCGCTGTCTGTGTCCCATCTATGTCTTCGTCTCCTGTGCCTTCTTTTCCTTCTTGTTCTGCATCTGCAGCCGCTTTTGGGCCTTGCGCACATCCCGCTGCACCGCGCCGATCACGGCCTGCTCGCGGCCTACGGGCCACCGCGCCGCCGCCGCCGCCTCGTCCTCGGCCGTCCACGCGCGCGGAAGCACCGCAAACACCAGGTACGACGTGTGCGTCTTGACCTCGGGCTCGACGCGCGTTGTTAGGCGGCCGTCCAGCCACGCTTTGGTGGGGGGCAACGCCTGCGGCGCGGGCCCCTCTTCCTTGGCCTTGTCGACGACGTCCATAGCGTCGGCGGCTGCACTGGCACCAGCACCAGCACCAGCACCAGCACCAGCACCAGCAGTGCCAGCCTCCCGCGACTGCCAGAACCGCTGGTTGTACTCGCGCGTGCGCGTCTCAATCGCCTTGAGCCGCGCCACCGCCTCGCCCACGTCCCGCGGCGCCGGCACATTGTTGCCGCCGCCCACGCCCGCGCCGGCACCGGCACTGGCCTTGCCGCTCACCAGCTCGGGCCGCTCGCGGTACACCAGAATCTTCTTGTTGGCCACCTCGACCATGTCAATGTCCGTCCAGCCCAGCCGGCGCAGCATCGACACGGTGCGCGTGACCTGCTCGATGCAGGGACTAAAGGTGCAAATGTGGACGCTCTTGCGCGGGTGGAGGGCCGACGGTCTGCCGTCGGCCGTGGCGGCACGCGTCAGGTGCTGCAGGGCACGCCACGGTGCGGGCAGGTCCAGGAACACGGCGTCGGCCTCGGGGCTCGTGCCGTCGTCCAGCAAGAAACCGTGCCCGTACACGTCGCGGTTGGTCAGGGTGACCAGATCGTCCCCGCCCTCCCCCGAAAGCCCGTGGCTCTTGAGCTCGGCCTTCATCTTCTGGTACCGCTCGTTGTGGAACTCGAAACTGTAGACGTGGCCCGGCCGTTTTGGCGTCGCCGCGGCGCCCTTGGTGGCGGCTGTCGACGTGCCGTAGACCGCCCGTGCGGAGGCATGGGTAAAGCTGCCGCTACCCGAGCCGGCCTCGATGAGGTGCGTGCCCGGCCGTGCCCGCAGACGGTGCAGGATGTAGCTGTAGTCGCTGGCATATACGACCTGTGTGCGGTGCGGCAGGCTGAGCGTCCAGACCTCGGGCGTCGGTGGCAGGATGTGCACGAAACCGCTTGCGGCGGTGGCGGGTGGTGGTGGTGGTGGAGGAGGAGGACGGGCGGCACCAGTCGCTGTCGTTGCCGTTGGTGTCGACGGTGTCGTCGCGGCTGGTGTGTCGGCCGGTGTACTGTCTTGTGGCGTCGCTGCCGACTCGGCTGCTGCCGACTCGGTAGCAACTGCGGCAGTGGCATCTCCGCCCACGGCCCCCAAACTGCCCGCTGCCCGCTTCCGCTTCCGACCGCGCGAGCCCGTGTCCACGATCGACGCCCGCACCTGCGAGCCCCATGGCACACCAATCATGGTCGAGTGCGGGAACGAGCCAAATCGTGTGTTGAGCACGGCGCCCTCGGCATAGCCGTCGACTTCGAGGCCCGCGGCATCGTGGAGGTAGATGGGCTGGTAGTTGTCGCGCGAGAGCTGGACGATGGCGAGGGCATTGGAGCGGGTGCACGGGCCCGGGTCGAGAAACGGGGAGGAAGAGGTTGACATGTTGTTGTATGGGGGCAGCAGCCGTGTCGTGTCGTGTTCTGGTGAGCAATCCACACACTCCAATTGCAATCAACTGTCTCGAAAACTTTTTAGTGGAGCTGTTCACGGTATGCAGTTCACGATAAGAAGGTACGATAAGAAGTTGCTTTTGGCGTACCATCACGTGATCAAAACGGCTTAGTCATTTAATACCATAAGTGCTGAAAGTGGGGCGTTGCTGGCGGCAGCCGATGACGTGGTAGTGAAACGCCGCGTCTTTACGTCGCGTTCACCGAAGCCGTAGCTTAGCTGGTCTTGTCCGGTTTACCCCTCTTTGTCCCTGGACATGTCCCCTGGAATGCCCTGACCCCTCCCTCCCTGACGACGACGCTGCCCCTGAACCATTGTAGCCGTATTTTGTAGATTAACGACGTGGTTCGAAAAGACGCCCAAGCTGCAGCAGTCCGATGTCGATCGCGAGCTGTTTATGACGGGCAAAGGTGGTGGCTTGTGTTACAAGACGCGAATGCTGTGACATATCCTACGATTGGGAGCGACGAGATGACAGCATTGGAGCAATGGGAAGATCGGGCTGTGCTTGGCATCTGCAATGCTTGGCAACTCCATTTAGACTTCACATTCACATAACAAACACCTATGTCGTGGCCGTTTTCGTTTGAATTGCTCGTTCAGAAACAGTCTGACGGCTAGATGGTAAATCATCCAAATTTATTTCATTTCAGGTATTTCAATTCATAAAGGGCAGACCGTTAAACTTTATGCCATCGTCGTACTAGGACAATCTAGTAGTTGGGGCCGGGGCGGTTGCTGTGGGTTGTCATGTTAGCCTATGATGCATTGGTTCTTTCAGCCCTCGACGCTCAACTTACGGGTCAAAGTTGTCCTGGTTGCCGTACTGCTGGTCGTACAGCTGCTCGGCGTTCTGGCGGGCGTGGTGCTTGGCCTTCTCGCGGTCAATGAAGTCGAGGCCCTTGGTCTCAACGAGCTTGTCAACCTCGGCGCCGGCGAAGGCGGCAATGGCCTCCTTGGCGAAGCCGTGGCTGACGGTCTGGCCCTCGGCGCGCTGGTGCTTCTCCCACTCGTGCATGGCGGCGAAGCTGGCACCGGCGCCCAGGAGCTCGTGGCTCAGGGAGCCCTCGTGGTGGTTGTCATTGTTGTAGACCTGGTCGCGGGCATCGCGAGACTCGTCTGAGAAGTGTCAGTGCATGTGCCCATTTGTCCATGTGTTCATGTCCCCTTGTCGTGTGAGGTTGGAGCTGGAGAAGGGTCTTACCAAAACCGAAGAAACCCATTTTGAATGTGAGGGGGTGGTGTGTGTGAAAGTCTTTGGTAGTGTAGTGTATAGAGAGATGTGTGGATGAAGACAAGAAGAAGAGAGACAAGGGAAAAGGGGGGACGATGAGGGGGAGGGAGATGGACTTTAAATACCCATTGACTACAGAATACCTGTCGACTTGAGATCCCAAGCTTCACCCCTCTTTCGTACCACTTTGACCCACGACTGAACCGCGACCTGTTAGCTCATAGCTGCAGACAAAAAAGGTGGGCAGCACCAACTAGGCAGGAACGACTTGGGACATCGCAAGGAGGGCAGGAGGGACCGAAGAGACAACCTCACAACCTGGCAGGAGACAGCTTCTGCAGCAACGAAGCTGGCTCACCCCACATGCAAGTGGTGTGGACGAAACGAGGGCCTCGTTGGGTGGACGGGCTGAGACCGGGGGGGGGGGGGGACGCATCGTTTCCAAGCCCATCCCTGTTTGCTTGCGCCGCTGGTCTTCATGCTTCGTCGCCCGGATGTGTTTCGCGCGATTTCTTTTTTTGGCTCCTCACTCGCTCTTGCATCACTTGCCTCGCTTGCATCACTGGCGCTTGCCTGCTCGTCTTTGTTTCCTCACCAACGGCAGGCGCGAGGGGAAACAGAGACGGAGGTGGCGGTGCCTGCTTGCTTCTCTTTGGCGCCCTCCTTTTGCCGCCTCTCTTCGCCCCGTTTCGTTTCGTCATTTCCTAGCTGATTGTCTGTCGCGCTGTCGTCGTCTGGCCATCCACAGATTCCCAGACCTGGACCCCTCCTTTCCTTCTTGTTGGCTGCTGGCCCTGCCCCTCATCCTCACCCCCTTTTACGTATTCCCTTCCCGATCGCGCCGACGCTTGTCCTTTGCTGCATCACTGGCGGCGTTAGTTCAGCATCAGCCAGCGAATGCATGTTGCAGCAACTCTACTTTGTCCTAGCATTGTCGGTGCTCAGTAGACCATTCCTGCAAGGAGAGCATTGAGGCGTTCAAGTGAACAATGACAGAGAGGATGCTTTACGTTTGCTCAACAGAAAGTACGTTCAAAGTCAAACCCTGATGGCAACGACAAGCTCCCCATAGCTCTCTTTCTTGGCTCCCCCCATTTGCCCCCGATCTTCCTCCGCCCGTGGCAGCCCTGTCGATTTGGTGCCAATACCCTGCCAAGAGGCCACCCGCAATGCTTGTTGTTCCAAGCGCGTCTCCGAAAAGTCACTGGTCAGCTTGTCCAGTTGTCCTCTGCAGCGTTCCTGTCCTGCCGCGCTGCCCATGTGGTGTGTTTGTTTTGTTGCCAAGGAACCTTGTCAGCTGGCACTCGCTTCAGTGGCTCGAGTGGCCACTTGATCAGGGCCTTTGCCAAGCGATTTAGACTACTGCGATGTGCAGTCTGATGTCGCCAGAAGAGGCAGCAGATGACGACGCAGCTGAGAGGTGTTGGTCAACCCTGTCGACCCTGAGCTGTCGTATTGGATGCCATTGGAGTATGGAGGTCCATCGTGTAGGAAAGCTCTCGGAGGGGTCCAAATGGAAGGGGCTCGCAGGGTTGCACTCGACGTCACAGGCTCGACAGGCAACGAGGGCTGTGGATTGGGTGAGTTTGGTCGAGTTAGAAGTCGATCTTACTGTTCCTACGATGTAGTGTGCCGTTTATTCCCAGCTTCAATTCCTTCTTTTGAAGCCAAGTGTGCAAGGCTCGTTCTGTTTCCGCTCAGAGCAGATGAACTTCCTTTGTATTGGCTCCGCTATCCTCCACTGCCTGACGCATACTGTCTGTCGAGACACCTCCACGTTGATCACAGATACGGCAGTGCTGACCAACTGCGAGATCTGTTCAATCGGGGAGGGTCCAAAGAGACCAATTGACGACAAAATGCACCGCCGATGATAGATGGCGTTTATGCTGCGGAGCTCGTGCTTCAGCTGGGCCAGGCCCGTCTCTTCCAGTTTATTTACTAGGAGCTAGTGTAGTCTTACTCCGTATAGTACATCACATCCGTCCCTAAGTCTCCGTAGTGCCAGCGCCGTCTCGTTTCACAAGCCAGCCATAGGAGTTCGCTGGTTCAGTAGTCTTTGAGGCACTGGAGGAACTCGCGATTGTTCCCTGTTTTGGTATCTGTCAACTGTTAAATTGTGATTTCTATGCGTTTCTTCAGCTTTCCGTGGGTCCGAGGTCCCACGGATCGATGTGAGTAACTGCCGATCCTAGCTAGATTCAAATCTGCCACCTGGTGGTTGCACTGTCACTGTCCCTCATTACATCACGAGCACCTGAAACAAGCTCATGAGAAGGCGTCGAACGCAGCAATTCATGGCATTTGCGGCGTGGGGTGAGCGAGCTTCGTGGCGGGCCAATGGGAACAGCACACGCCGGCCTTGCAGCATCCCTTGCAGCATCTGAATCTGAATCTGAATCTGACATACATTGACTGCACTGCTGCTCCATCGCGTCGTGTCGTTTCATGCGCCAGCGTCACTCCATGGCGTGATGGCATCTTTGGTGAAAAGAGGGCGATGCATAGCACGTCTTCTTCATGGCAACATCCGTTCGGAGGAGGCAGGACGCTGCGGCCGACCCCTCCTGCTCTTGCTTTCTTGTTACCCCTGACACCTTCTCTTTACGTAGTGTGGTTCACAATGTACAAAGCGGAAGGGAAGGCACGGCCGTCGATAGCCATTGCTCTTTAAGAACCCTTTGAGCATTCTTTCCCCTTCTGCCCCTTTCATTTCCATGGAAGCATGGGCTCATCCGCAAGAGGCAGGGGCGAAGCACAACTGCCAGAGGCCGCCAGCAAAAGGGCCTCCGGCCGGCGATACGCGGCTGCCTCGTCCACGGACCTCGCGTCCCTCCATATGCGAAAGGACACCGTGAAACGGGCCCTGCATCCTCTCCTCAGTGTCGATTGGGTCTCGTTGAATGGTCCCACTAGCTCGTGGCTCAATGTTGCAAGTGTTAGGCGTCTTGAACGCGGTGGCCATGCCTGATACTATGTAGGTAACCCCACAGTGGAAATAGTCAAAAGTAAGTATTATTAAACTATCTACACAGTATAAAGTGCCTTCTATTTTTAGGCTACTTTATTCGTCTCCGAAATGTCGATTCCAGCTGCAGGCAGTATGTTGTAACTATTCTCCGCCCAGGGACACATACAGACGTTGCCCTGCAACTAACGTTTCAATGCAGGACCAAATAACAAGCTTTGGACAAGCTGCGAGCTAGATTTGATGTGCTAATCCTGACCCTGACGCCCTATGCCTGTGTCTTGTTTCCAAGCTCTCTGACCAGGCACCGAATAGATCGTCTGAAAACTGTTCGAGTTCAAGGGAGCTACGCAAGGGAGGAGTAAAGACAACAGGTCACCTTGATGGCATTCTTGTATCTTTGTGTACATCAGCCAAGGCCGACACGCCAGACGGTCCTGGATCCCCGTCCGGCTGGAGACCAGCAATATTCGCACAGTCAAAGGACGACCCCAGGACAGCCATGCTCCACAGCTACAACAGCCTTGAGCTTATGCAGCATCCATATTCTTGTTGAATGGGGCTCCCTCCCGGGCAGGCTACTGCAGCCCCCAAAGCCATGCTTAACCTGGTGGAAACCAATGAACAACGGAAGCCTTGGGAGAGTGCCAGCCGGACTTTCATGTTCGCATCGAAACCTGCCGTCTCGCAAGCAAAATTCAATGGTCGACTGTGTTGAGATGTGATGGCACAGCGTTCAGAGGATGCGGAGACTGCTGATGTCTCATACCAAGTTCGGCGTTGGGGTAATTGCCGCCAGTACGGTAGAGCTGCGTTGAAATGTATGGTGTTGATGAAGATGTAAGCCGGCTATGTCTCTACCCTCCTCCTCTTGTCGGAACCACCGTGTCGATCCCGGTCCCGGTCTCTGTCCCGGTCGCGGCTGTCTCGCCGGTCTCGTGATGGCGGAGACCGCTTCCTCCGCTCGTCCCGAGAGCCACTGTAGCGGTCGCGGTCGCGTCGTGGCGATCTTGATCTCGATGCTGGACGTCGAAGATCTCTGTCATCTACATCCCGTCGGCTGCTATCCCGATCGTCGCGGTATCGATCGTCACGCTTGCTGCTCGTGTGGGACTTGCGCTCGCCCAGTGGAATGGCATTCGCACCTTTGATTTCACCATCGTCGCGGTCGCGGTATCCTCCTCCACCGCCACCGCCACCACCTTCCACGTAGCCTGGACGCTCACGACCCCACGAGTCATACCGGTTGTTCTGGTTTGGCCGGTAGTCGTCCAGCAGCCCGCTGCCCCAACGGCCGGTGTCCTCCGACTTGAGGTCTCGGTACTTGGACGCGCCCTTCTTGCCCAGCTTCGTCACGTCGCGGATCTGCAGCGCCTTGGGCAGCAGGTCCGGGTTGCGGATCGCGTCCTGGTACCGCGCGCCCATCAGATCACGCTTGTCCAGGCCCTCGGCAGCGCTGGCATCCTGGTAGAAGGCGCCGTGGTGGTAGTACTTTTGCATGTAGGCCATCTTGCCGCGGCCCTCCTTCTCCTCGCGCTGCTTGGCAAGCAGGCCGGCGTCCTCGGCGTTGCGCTCTTCCTCGGTCAGGTTGCGGCGCCGCTCGAGCTCGGCAAGCTCCTTTTCCTTTTCTTCAATGCGCTCGCGCTGCCGCTTGATGCGCTTGAGCTCGCGTAGTTTCCACGCGGCGTACTCGGCCTCGGGGTCGACGTCGTCCTCGGTGTCGACATCGAGCAGTGCGGCGGCGGCCGCAGCCGCTGCAGCCGCTGCCGACGCAGCGGCCTCGTTGCCCTCGTCGTCCTCGTCCGACTCGTCGGAGCCCGAGCTGGCCTCAGCCTTGGTCTTGGCCTTGGCCGCAAGGGCCGCTGCCGCCGCCGCCGCCGCCGCCGCCGCGGCAGCCTCGTTGGAGTCTTCCCACATCTTCTTGCTCTTGCTGGCCACGCGCGCCTCGGCCCGCTTGCGCATCTGCTCTTCGACGAGCGCGTCAGCCGCCGCCAAGCGTTCCCGCTCCGCCTTTTCTTCGTCGTGTTCGTCTTCGTTTGAGTCTGGTTTTGGCGCAGACGAGGCGGCGGCCACCTTTTCTCGTTGTGCTTTTGTCATATACTTGGGCAGGACAAACTTGGGTGGTTGAAGGTCGTCGTCTGAGCTGCTCTCCTCGTCGCTGTCGCTGTCGCTCTCGTCATCGTCGTCGTCCTCTTCGCTTTCGTCCCCACTCCCACTGTCGTCGCCATTTTTTGCATTCGTATTTTGGGCTTTGCCATCGACTTCGTCCTCAGACTCAGTGACAAAGCCCTCTTCGGCCGCTTTCCGCTCCAGCTCGGCGCGCCGCCTCCGCTGCTCGTCGTCTTGGCTGATGGCACTCGCAAGCGTCGCGTGTGTCACGACGCGTCCGGGCCCCGTCCGTTTCGGTGCAGAAGCAGTTGAAGACGCTGTTGGAGGCGGCCGCTTTGCTTTGGAGGCCGCCGTGGTGACCTGTTCGCTGCCGCTCTCCTCTTCCGACGACGAGTCCGAGTCGACGCCTGTCGGTTTGCCTGCCCGATGCCGCGCCGGCCGCACGATCCTGGTCATCGGTTTCGGCGGCATACTGACAAAAGCTTGTGGAGCGTTCTCGATATGGGCGGCGACGTTGGGCGTTGTTGGCAGTGTGGTGCCGTGGATGTGGATGTGTCGATGCGAGAAACGTCACAGAACGCAATATCCAGCGTCTAACAATTTGAGTCCGCGATCAGCGATAAGGACTCACGGCTCCCTTATCACTAATCCAGCCCAGCACTGTTGTAACCCACTGGTTGATAGCGGCGTTAGTGTGCCACCCAGGCACTAACCACCACCCACAGCGTTCTGCCGGACCTTTACAGCAATCTCACATGCAAGTCCAGGGACATTCAAATACCAACACAACGACGGAAAGTTGAGAATGTAAATACGGTGAAACAGGATACAAGGCTATATTCAAAAGCTCCAATGACGTCTAAAAGTATAAATTAAAAAAGTCTGAGCGTGTCCGCCCTGTTTTCTAGCTTCTGGTGACAAATGCAGGCTTTCACTTATACAGCAAAGATGGCCTAAAACCCATCGCAGCATATGTCGAATTTTTAAATGCTCGTGGACCAACATCTGGAGTGTTACAGACCGGCTTTGACCTGCATTACCCTCGTCATTTGCTAGCAATTTATTTCGAAACCTCGCAGTTTCAGAGAGGCGGGATTCTCCACGGTGTCTTGGCTAGGCTCGGCCGGCGATTGGATTTTTACCCCACCAAAAAGGCCCCCAACAGGTACTGGTCAGTGCCGAATGACTTGCGCCCATACCGTCTACAAAATCTCTAGCCTTGCCGAAACAACATCCAGCCACCTGACGAGAAACGCGCGTTGCTTGCAACGCTCCCAGCAGACTACAGTCTTGTCAGACCAAGACCATACCACCTCCGACTCCCCCTATACACCCCGCACACGACCACACGCCACAATGGCTTCCTCGGCCCCGACGACCGTCCGCGTCGGAACTCGCAGTTCGAAGCTGGCCGTGCGCCAGGCCGAGACTGTTGTTGCTGCCCTCGAGGCCGCCAATCCGGGCGTCAACTTTGTCATTGACGCTCGCGAGACCGCCGGCGACCGCGACAAGGTCACCCCGCTGCCCAACCTGGGCAAGGGCCTGTGGACCTCCGAGTTCGAGGCCCGCCTTGTGGCCGGCGACCTGGACCTCGTCGTCCACTGTGCCAAGGACATGCCGACTGCCTTGCCCGCCGGCTGCATCCTCGGCGCCATTCTGGACCGTGAGGACCCCCGCGACGCCGTTATCTTCCCCGTCGGCAGCCAGTATACCGAAATTGGCCAGCTGCCCGCGGGCAGCGTTGTCGGCACCAGCAGCGTGCGCCGGTCTGCCCAGCTCAAGCGCCGCTACCCCGGCCTTTCCTTCCTGGACCTGCGCGGCAACATCGACACCCGCCTGCGCAAGCTCGACGACTCTGTCAACCCGAACCGCCCCGCCGACGCCCCCCGCTACGACTGCATCATCCTGGCCGCCGCCGGCCTCAAGCGCATGAAGTTTGACGGCCGCATCTCCCAGTACCTCCAGGACTCGACCTCGGGCACTCTGTACGCCGTCGGCCAGGGTGCGCTCGCCCTGGAGATCCGCGAGGGCGATGCGCAGACGCAGAAGCTGCTCGACCCCATCCTGCACAAGCCGACGACGCTCGAGTGCACGGCAGAGCGCGCCGTGATGCGCGCGCTCGAGGGCGGCTGCAGCGTGCCGATCGGCGTCGAGTGCCAGTGGAGCGGCGACGACAAGAGCGACCTGGAGCTCAAGGCGACCGTGGTCAGCCTGGACGGCCGGCAGGCGGTGAACTCGGCGGCCAAGCGGCGCGTGGCCACGGTCGAGGAGGCAGATGCGCTGGGCCTGCATGTGGCGAGCACCATGGTCCAGATGGGCGCACAGGCCATCCTCGACGAGATCAACAAGAACCGGGTGCCGCCCCCGGCGGTTGTGCCGGCGCCGACGGCGTAGACCATGCAGTGAAGTGACGCTGGATCAGAGGAGGAACTTTTCTCATACGCTATATATATGAACATATTGCGCGATCATGAGTCACGAGGCTAAAAAAAGGGAAAAAAGGCGTAAGGTCACAAAAGGGTTCTTTAGGACATGACAAGATCGTTGTTGCATGTACGTTGAGTTTCTAAAATACAAATCCCCAGGTCATCGTTGAAGTGAGATTGCTCGCGCCATTGTTGCATCGTTTGGACGTGCGTATGATTCATGGTTTTCGTTTTGTTTTCATAGGTCCGTCTTTCGACGTCGGCCCAGTCTTGGCTTTCTTTTCGTTTTGTTCTGTCAGTCTATCTATCGTTTACCCTTGCTATCCAGCCTCGCAATTGTTGAAATGGATCTCAGCTCTCCCACCAACGCAGTGGCACCAACGCCATTAAACAACCAAGAAGAAGATGGAAAGAAAGGTGATGCATTCGTACGCTGGGTCAGCCTTCGCCGTCTACTCTAGTGGTCCTCCGATGCAGTGAATGCCTTGTATTCGTCGGCGCTCATCAGCTCCTCAAACTCCTTGACGCCCTGCTCGTCCACCTGCACCTTGGCAATCCAGCCGCCACCCGCCGAATCGTCCTCGGGCGTCTGGTTGATCGTGCCGGGCGTCTCCTCCAGGCTGGTGTTGACGTGCGTCACCTTGCACGCAATCGGCGCATTGATGTCGGCGGCCGACTTGACCGACTCGACGGCACCAATCGCATCGCCCTGGCCCACCTCCTTGCCCTCGGCCGGCAGCTCAACGTACACAACGTCGCCCAGCGCCTCGGCGGCGAACTCCGAGATGCCAATCACGCCCGTCGTGTTGTCGGCGTTCAGGTCGACCCACTCGTGGTCCTTGGTGTATCGCCGGACGTTGACTGGAAGCGGTCAGTACGAGCCCACGCAAACGGTATGCATCCTGCGAATGGCTTCACGCCCCAAATCCTCCGCAAACTCACACTGTGCCGAAACAGAAAAGGCTCGCGCAGAAGGCATGGCCGGACGGAACTGAACGGCCGACCGGGCCACTGGGCGGACCGATGTCCGGGCAGCCACCGTCCAGCAGCGGGCAATCGAGGCAGCCATTGTGTATGTGTGTTTCTCGGTGGTCGGAAAGGAGTCGGAGTGGAGAGCTGATGTGAATGTCGCAGCAAAAAGGAGACCGTTGACGAGGTGGCTGTAGAAAAGGCGGTCGTTAAGAAGCGGTTGGCGAGAGTGAGTTCAAAATGGGAGGGGCAGCAAGTCGGAACGACAATGGAAAGCGCCGCCGGCTCAAGGTGTGAAAAACGCTGCTACTGGGCACTTTTTGTCAGATACGGCGGAGCTTGGGTGGAGGTTTTTTCCTATCTGAGCAGTCTTTCTTGACTTGGGCTAGCTCCTTCCCTGTAACGCATGGCTGCCAATTGCTCGACTGACGAAAGCTCCGTTTCCATTGGCTGCAGGGCGGACGAATCCGGACCACTGGCCCAAACGGCAGGAGACAGCATCCCAGGAGGGAAAATGCCACTAAAACGAGAAAGCACCACGGTTTGCCGCGGCAGAGTCGCAGGCACCTTCCTGTTTGGCGCCAAATTGGTCTGCTTAGTCAGTTCATGCCTGGGTTCACATGGAACCTAAGTTTACCGTGGCGGCCTGACAGCCAGACAGCCTGACGGCTTGTCAACAATATCACAGTCAAGTTGGCGGCCCGTCAGGAAATCACCCTCCGAGATACGTTGAACCGATAATTCAGACCTATATGCGCTAAGCTGCAAAAAGCATCAAGATTGCCAGCCCGTCTGTTCACTCGCACACGGCATGTGAAAGAACCGCTGGGACATTTAAAATTGGGACAGTGCCATCCGCCTGGCCGCGGAGTATTGCTCCATAGCAAAGAAGACGCACAGCAGGGGAAGAAGCATGGAAGAGAAAGATGAAAGCGGCTCTTCGCACCTGTCCCATCTATCCGTCATCCTTGTCCCGTACGATACATATCGTGTATATTTCGGGCTTCGTCTTTCACTCGTATTTGCTCATTGCCTTCCTAAACTTTGGTCTTTTCTCTTTTTCTGTCTCATGGCCTTTGTGCCCTCCGACGCCCATTCCAGGCATGGCGCGTCGCGTCGCGTGAGTCTCCACGCTGTTAAAGTGCACTGCCATCCTGGCTTCCCATTCGTTCTTGGCCACTCGCTTGGCCGCCTCAGTGGCGCGTTCCTGCAGGCTCTTTGGCAAAAGCAGACGCTAAATCGCAGCAAGCAGTCCTTAGGGAGCCTGTTTTAGGCCTGTTTTATTATGGGCTGGTGTTTTCAGCTGGTCTCGTGAAAAGTGTAAAGCAAGTTGCTCGTGCTTTTGTCTCCCGGCATTAGCCTTTTTGCTCGCACTTCCCTCCTTGGAAACGCGGTACTTAAGAAAGCAAACAACAACAGCAACCGCAACCACAACATAAATAAAGATACTGTCGGGACGGCTCATCGACGTGCCCTCCAACGCCCGAGTAAACAAATAACACAAGTCGTCCGCCCCTTATTGGACGTGTGATCTGCTGTAAGCGCCATCACGACCAACCCACGGCAGGCCCACTAAAGCACAGCTCCCGTGGGACTTTCAAGTGCACGAGCACACCTAGAATAAGCAGAGGATATTTAGAAAGTGCATCGCGCCTTTTGAGGCTGCACCACCCCACCCCTTCCTTGCTGTCCGGACATGTCTCTGGCTCTCCTGTGCCCCTGGCCTGGCCTGGTCCGCTGGTCTTGGCTGTCCATGAAATAAACAGAGCCAGCACAACGATTCCCCCTCATCCAAGTCCGATCGTTCCTGGCCAACCAAAAGTCGTGTATGGAGAAGGGGAAGCACAGCATAATTCCACGCATCTCACGAATATTCAGAGTCTAGCATCAACGCTGCTGGTAAACCTGCATTAGGCCAGGCCCAACTTTTCCCTCCCCATTTCCTCCTCCTTTTTCTCCTTTCGTAGTTTCCCGTTTCTGTCTCTCGATCGTGTTTGGTGTTATTCTTTCAGCACGTCGTCCGGAAAGAAGCAGTTGTGATACTTGCACGTTGTTGGTTTTGCTTCGCACCGTTCAAATCCCCTGTTCGTTCTTTCCTGTCGCTTCTTTCGTTCCTTCTGATTCTCATTCCCAGTCCCCTCTTTCCCGTATTAGCAATATACAACGTGCTGAAAGCCTGCTCGGCCGCCCTATTTTTCCCCTTCCGCACCCATCGTGCTCCACTCTTTCCCTCCTCTTGCATGGTGTCTCCTTCCCTTGAACACTCACGCAAGCCTTGTCGAAAGTATCCTCCGCTGCTGTCTTGCCTGGATCTCGTTGCATGAATTCGAGCCGTTCGAATACGTGAAACTCAAACGACCATCGTCGTCCATTGCACACCTTATCTCGACGCCCAGCCCTCAACACCTGACGCGACGAGCACACCGTATGCACGCTGTTTGACGCGAGTGGACACGGTGCCTGACGACCACTCTCGACACGCCCCTCGAGCACTTTGACGTCGTCCCCCCACTCTTTTTTCACCCTCTTCGCCCACGACATCCCTCGTTTTCAACGACACACCTCTTGCTCCAGCACTTGTCGTATCACTTTCGTCAAGCACAGCGTCGAATCCCTTGGCTTTCATCTTCACGACTATCCCCTTCCTACCCTGCTGTGACGGCCACCGCGTTTGAGACCAAGGCTTCACAAGTATAGCCTCGTGCTCTTCGGCTGGCAGTCTACTTACTACCTTGTCCGTATCCCGACAACCTCACGAACCGACTGGCTTCACGGCCGGAAGCCGTTGCGACTCTACCCCTCTTTCCACTGTATCTTATCTAGACCGTCGGCCCGCAGGGCACAGCGCCAACCTGGATTCCTCAACGCTCTCAGTAGGGTCGCCGGCCCAGTTCCATGACGCCCGCGACGTAATGGAGGCCGAGCCCCCGACCCCGACGTCGATGCAGGCCCCATCAGCCCTCCTGTCCCAGGACCAGGACGACTCGACTCTGGGTATTGAGGGAAGCCCGCATATGGGCGTCACCAACGGCCACAACGGCCGGACACACCATACACAGTCCCAATCGCTCGACCAGGGCCTCCCAAACTCGCCACGCCACAGCTATGGCGTCGCATCCGCCGGCGGTCCCGATGAGCTAGACCGGTACGCCACGCCGCCGTTGTCACAGCAGGCGCAGTACGCGCAACATCCACAGCAGCAGCAGCAGCAGCAATACCCATACCAGCAACACCAACAGTCCCAGTCACAAGCACCGCAACAGCAACATTACCACCACCAACAGCAAGCACAGCAGCATCCCATCTCCAGACCACCGTCTGGCCTGTCGGGCAGCGGTGCGGCCGGCGGTTACCCGGACCATGTCTCTCGCAGCAGCGGCGGGCAGGCCGAGGCCAACAGCGGACGGAACCACGTTGTGATCAAGGTGGGCATGGTCGGCGATGCGCAGATCGGCAAGACGTCGCTGATGGTCAAGTACGTCGAGGGCAGCTGGGACGAGGACTACATCCAGACCCTTGGCGTCAACTTCATGGAGAAGACAATCAGCATCCGCAACACGGAGATCACGTTCAGCATCTGGGATCTGGGTGGCCAGCGCGAGTTTGTCAACATGCTGCCGCTGGTCTGCAACGACGCTGTGGCGATCCTGTTCATGTTTGATCTGACGCGCAAGAGCACGCTCAACAGCATCAAGGAGTGGTACCGCCAGGGCCGCGGCTTCAACAAGACGGCCATTCCGATTCTGGTCGGCACCAAGTACGACCACTTTGTCAACTTCCCGCGTGAGGACCAAGAGGAGATTTCAAACCAGGTATGTTCATCCCGATGGCGTGGGAGAGTACAAGAACGAAACCAAACTCCCATGCTAATACTGCCAGGCTCGCCGGTTCGCCAAGGCTATGCGTGCTGCACTCATTTTTAGCAGCACGAGTCACAGCATCAACGTTCAAAAGGTCCGTTTCCATTCCTATCCTTTTTCTCTGAGCCAGCAACATACAAACGACTAACCCACTCGCAGATTTTCAAGATCGTCCTGTCCAAGGCATTCGATCTGAAGTGCACAATACCCGAGATCGAAAACGTGGGAGAGCCACTTCTGTTGTATCAGTCGTGCTAATATCGATCCTGATTCCCAACTGAACATTTCGAAACCACCAACAAATCAAACAACAACACTGCTTTCCTTTGTCACAACATTTTGTCTGGAACGTACAAATCATTTTTATGTCTTCTATTCTTTTCTTTGCGTTCACTTACCCTGATATAATTGATGCTTTATGCCCCTATCCCATTTTGTTAGTTAATAAGCTGTTTGGCTGTTTGGCCTGAGTAAGTAGCCAGGGAGTACCACCTCAACATGCTGTGCTCATCTGAGAAACAGAGAGGAAGAGAGACGAGAACATCGTTGTGTAAGAACTTGCCAGACAATAGCCTGGAGTTACCTTGTGAACACAAGACCACCCTGGAGCTGGACTGGCAAGCGGAAGCCAGACACAGCAATACGATAGTGTGGGTGGAAAGGGAAAAATATCAGACAATGCATCAATGCATAGCAGCAGACTGGATTTGTTTTCGATTCTTTCCTTTACTTCAACCCTGTGTCACTATCTGTCAATCATATATCAGTCCCGTCGTTTACTTTTTGTCCAATCGCTCGTTTTGAAATTTCGCTGTGGATTGCACGAGGGCTGGAGCATATCTGCGTTTATCGACTTAAATTATAAGACCATTCTGAGCGTTTTCCCATATGCCCTCTTGCCACATTGGGCGACCCCTTTTCTTTATTTTTTTTGGTCGGAAAAGGAAGCAGCGAGTCAAAGGCATTGAACAGGCAACGTATTTTGGCAGGAGCAACCTGTAGCTGTGTATGATTATGATTATTACCAAAATGGGAAATAGATGCACTTTCCATTCTGGTTACAAACTAGCCACGACACCTTCTGTCCTTTCGTTGTCTTTCTTCGGCCTCTCCGGGCCACAAATTGTTTTGTCCGCTTCTTGTACCATCGACATGTGTATCATCCTTATAGATCATTTGTGTACTCGACATTTTCGTCGCCTCTTCCTCCGTTTCGCATCGGTGAACATCCAATGATACCACCGTCCAATCCAAACTGCCCAAAGCGGTTACCAGCTGGCTTCTTGTAATACACCCCTTTATCAAGAAGCAAGAGGTTAGGCCTCTAAAAACAAAGCGTCACGCGTTCGAATCGAAGACCAACTTATGCGACACCTGCCATCTGATCATGGGACAAAACTGTTGCAAACCTTACAAGGGTTCCCGGTTCAACCGTCTCTCCAAGCTCAAGGCTGAGGCCGATGCTGCTGCCCAGGCAGCTAGAGACTCTGACCACACGGAGCCCCATCCTACACTCGTCCAGTTTCTCGAGAACAGCCACGACCCGTCGACGGCCGCACCCGGCTCAGAGCCGATGTCCTCTCCTTTGCTTATACCGCAGATCGATGCTAATCGTGAGATGCGGATAGAGATCGAGACCAACGATCCCCAAGGCACGACCCAAAACTTGCAAAAAAGTCGCCGCAGGAACTCCCGTGAATGGCTGCAGCAGCAGCGCAAGCGGCTCACGAAGTCCCGCTCGTTCGGCCAGCTCAAAAAGAACAAAGTAGCACTCGCCCATGACGAGGTCATCAGGCTGGGGCCGCATCCGATCACTGTGGTGGAAGCATCGACATTGTCCCGTGAAGCGAGCACAAACTCCAACGGAAGCCTCGAACCACTGCCGGCGGGAGGAGAGAGCATTGTCTTGTCACCTGGCGGGCCGGACGCTTGCCAAGCTCGTTATCAACAAGACCCAACGTTGCTGGCGCCCACGCCACGTCGGCCCATGGCCACCCGCTTCCCATTCTTGAACCCGGCCACGGTCAGCGCCACGACAACACACAGCAGCAACGATTGCGAGGAAAACGAGGGAATGGGACCGAGCCAGCAAAACATGGCCCAGGGCACCCAAGAAGGTGAAGCCGACCATGCAGACGATGGGGTCAACGTGGTCAACAGTGATTCCTTACCATCATCGGCAATCGTCGCGCTGCGTCCGCGCGAGGATCGCGAGCAGCGTTCCGAGTACGGAAGCATTCACTCGAACGCGCCGAGCATATACTACCTCGCTCCAAGCTCGCCACAGATCCCGCCCAAGGACAGTGCGGCTTCTCTCGTCCCCAAAGAAACCCATGCAGCCAGTCCGCACCATTCTGTCACTTTGCGATACGGGAGTGGGGCTCAAGACAACGCTGTGGAGACTAATGAGAGTCGGGACAATGAGGTAGAGGAAAGGTCAGAGCAGAACGGCGAAGTACACCGCAGTGAAGCTCCAGGCAGCACGGCCAAGGTGGATAACGAACTCGACAACAATTTCCTCTACGCAGTCATGGCGTTTGTGGCCTCGCAAGGACCACGTCCGCAGTCACCTTCGCCGAGTCATGAGGAAAGAAGATTGGAAGTTCTCGTGGCCGGCAGCGGCTCAGTGTGAGTGTCGAGCTGTCTTCTGCGCTTTGCAGCATGTGTTTTTACAGTATCTTATTCCTCGGGCTGTGTTTGGTAGACTTATATCTTCGTTTCATAATGGAGCATTGAGAGTAGAACTTGTTGCTTCGCTGTCTGCTGCACAAGAGTCGAAATGGCTTTCGCGAGTGACCTGATAATTGGTGCACGATACGAGTAATAAGATGTACCTTTTTCGCATCACTCCGTTGATGTTTTTGTCGTGTAAACAGACCCACAATTCAGAGAACACGGTGAACGCTAACCCCGCCTGACTACAGCAGTTGACAACGGCACGCAAACGACCCCGCCGGAGTTTCCAGTAGCTTACGAGCCTTGCGTCCAGGGCACGCTGACAGTCCATTCCGCACGCATTAACTCCAGCTCCTTCCGCCTCCTGCCACATCGACCAGCAACCGTTCGCACCTGCCCTCTGGTCGGCGAATTCCCAACCCCGAGCAACACCTTCTTTTCTTTCCTCATACATATTCGCCCATTTTCGAAGCATCACGAAATAACCATCACCTGCTTCAATCTTGCTGTCCCCCTGCTAGCGACGAGATTAGCATCGGCCTTCAACGACCCCCCGCCAAACGGCGGCATAGGTAAGCCTCCCCGGGTACCGACAGCACCGTACAGCAGAATACAGGATCTGACGAAAGACTTCAAGGCTAGATAGGCATTTTGCGGTCCCTACACACTATCGCTATAATCTCATAGCGGCCGTGTCCTCGTCTCGATCCCATCCATATACTCCTACCGTCCCGTACCACCGTCCCCGAGAGGGCTTTCTCTCACCATGACGACGATCAACCCGCACGTGGCGACGTCCTCGACCATCAGCGGCCTGCTGCAGAAGCTGGGCGACTCGGATCCGGATTTCCGGTTCATGTCGCTCAACGATCTGCTACTCGTCCTCGTGAATGGTCGGCCCGAGATCCTGCAGAACGACTATAACGTGGCATCTAAGACTGTGGACCACCTTGTTCGCGCGCTGGACGACCAAAATGGCGAGGTGCAGAACCTGGCAATCAAATGGTGCGAGCCCACGCGTGTTCTCCTGTGTCCGATTATGCCTAACCACTTTCAAATAGTCTCGGGCCCCTCGTGCACCGGCTGCCGCTGGCCATCATCGCGACACTTATGGAGAAGCTGACAGCCCTGCGGCTCAAGAACTCGGTCGATAATACCGTCCCTGCCATGGCCCTCAAGGCAGTGGTGGTCTCTCTCCCTGCCCCGGCCCCCGGCGAGCACCCTACAAAGGACAACATCGACGCGTATTCGACCATCAACCGCGTGCTGATTCCTCGCTTCATCGGCTTGCCGACCTCCTCCAAGGTCACCACGGGCAGCCGCACCAACACCCACCACCAGCGCCAAGTGGCTGCTTCGCAGGCGTCCGGTGGTGCTCCGGAAAGCATTCTCGACATCAACGCCAACCCGACCGCCGAGTCGGTCGACGTTCTTATCGAGGTCGTGCGTTGCTTCGGTCCCATGCTGCAGGTTTTCGAGGTCGAGGCCCTCCAGGAGGCCGTCTTCTCCGTCCTGCACGGCGACCGTGGCAATTCCGCCGTCAAGAAGCGCGCCGTAGTTGCGGCGTCCATTCTCGCCGTGTACCTGTCCGAGGACGCCCTGACCAAATTTATTACCATGACGGTGCAGGCGCTGAATAGGCCCAGCTCTGCCACCCAGCGGCTGTACATTTCTATCCTGGGCTCCATGGCACGCTCCATCCCCCTGCGCTTTGGCCGTCACATTGGCGCCGTCATTCCATTCATCCTGCACGCACTGAACGAAGAGGAGCTCGAGAAGCAGCTCGAGGCCATCTCCGACGGCAACGACCCGAGCGACTTCAACGACGTGCGCGAAGCCGCCCTCGTGGCCCTGGATGCGTTTTTGGCGTCGTGCCCCAACCAGATGCGCCCGTACACCGATGAAACCATGCAGGCGTGCTTGCGGTACGTCAAGTACGACCCCAACTACGTCGGCGATGACGACGACATGGAGGACGCCGATGACGAGGACGACGAGGACGACGACTTTGGCGGCGACGAGGACGATGAGTTTGACGCCGATGCCGGATTTGATGACGACGATGACGCGAGCTGGAAGGTGCGCCGCTGTGCGGCCAAGGCGATCCACACCCTCATCTCGACGCGGAGCAGTGGCGACCTGCTGGACAACGGTGTGCTCTACCGCGATGCGGCGCCGCTGTTGATCAAGCGGTTCGAGGAGCGCGAGGAGACGGTCCGTCTCGAGGTGATTTCGGCCGTGTCGCTGCTGGTGCGCAAGACCGGCGAAGGCATCATCCCCGAATTCTCGCTGGACAGCCTGGATTCACAGAGCGAGTCTGGCGCCCAGCTACCGCTCAGCCGCAAGCGCCGGCGCCAGAGCAGCGTAACCGCTCTTCCTCTGCGGCAAAACTCCATCACCAGCCCTACGTCACCGACACATGAGCGCCGGCCGTCTATCCCTACGACAGGCCCGCGTGCCGACCTCGCTGAGCAGACCCGGTCAATTGTGACTGCCTGCACCAAGATTCTCAAGGGCAAGCAGGTGCCGACAAAGCAGGCGGCCATCAACCTCCTCAACGACATTGTTTCTGTGCAGCGCGGTGGTCTCTCGGACTACTTTGAGCAGGTCTTGGACTTGGTGCTGGTGACAGTCAAGTCCCCCACAGCCTCGGCGGCTACGTCGTCGCTGTCACTCGGCGGTGGCAATGCCTCGGCGACACCGACGACGCTTCGCATTGCGGCGCTCCGTCTCGTCGGCCACATCGCTAACACCCACAGCTCCCAGGTCCTGCAGCCGTACCTGGCGCGTGTCGTGGACGCTGTTCTCACCGTGGTGTCAGACCGCTTCTACAAGCTGTCGGCCGAGGCCGTCTCGGCCAGTGAGGAGGTGATCAAGTCCATCACACCGCCCCGGTCGCGGTCAACGGCAGCGGCCAAGTTCAAACCAGAGATTCAAAAGCTGTACGACGTGCTCATGAACCGGGCCACCGCATCTAACGTTGACACGGAGGTTCGCACAAAGGCCATCCAGGCACTGGGCACGCTTCTGTCACGCACTGGTGCCGAAGGCGCTTCGCTGCTGGCCCTGGAGAAGCGCAGCATCGCTTTGGAATCGTTGCTTGAGCTGCTCGGCAACGAGACGTCCCGCTTGGCAGCGGTGCGGGCGATTGATGTCATTGCGGCATCGGCCACGACGGCTGTCCCCTTTGACGGCCGGTGGACGCGCCGGGTCACAGTGCACTTGGCGTCGCAGCTGGGCAAGGCTAACCACTCGCTCCGAAGCTCGTGCATCCACGCCCTGCGCCACCTTGTACAGAGCCCGGCTGCCCAGGGTGAGCTCGACGACACCACCATCCCCGTCCTGGTCACGGCGCTCTATCCCGTCATCTCGCGCAACGACCAGCGTCTGTTGAGCCCGACGTTGCGGATCCTCAAGGTTCTTGTCGAGATCCAACCACAGCTCGTTGTGACGACCGAAGTGATCGAATCCATCTGCCACCTGCTGCAGTCGAGCGTGGCGGCAACCGTCTTGGACCCTCTACTGCAACTCGTGACGGTGATTGGCCGCAGCGGCCATGGTGGTCCCCTCATGAAGGGCCTGCTGCGGGATGTCGGTGTTGTCGGCGACCCGGCCATCGTTGGCAAGGTGGTTGGCAATCTTCTGGTGGCCAGCGGCAGCTCAGCCGGTGTGACGATCGACAGCTTCATTAAGGAGACACAAACCTTCAAGGCCGACCAGGTGCGGGCCAGCCTTGCGCTGTCGGTCCTCGGCGAGGCCGGCCTGCGGCTGGGCAAGGACTCGCCCATTCAGCCCGAGCTGTTCGTCGAGCAGTTCACGAGCGACTACGACAAGGTGTCGATCTCGGCGGCCGTGGCACTGGGCCGTGCGGGCGCGGGCAACGTGCCTCTGTACGTGCCGGTGATTCTGCAGGGCATGGAGTCGGGCAGTTCCACACAGTACCTCCTGCTGCAGTCGATCAAAGAGGTGCTTCAGCAGGTCACTATTGACCACACGGACATTAGTGAGTACACGGCCGTGATCTGGGATAAGCTGCTGCAGATGGCCGATGTGGAGAACAACAAGGCGGCGTGTGCGGAGTGCATCGGCCGGCTGGCCATCACGGCGCCCGAGACGTACATCCCGAGGCTGCACAGTCTCCTGGGCGACCAGTCAGCGGTGCTGCGGGCCATCTCGGTGCAGGCGATCCGGTACGCGCTGCCGGACACGGGCGAGGCGTTTGATACGCTCTTGCGCGAGCACCTAGTGGCGATGCTCAACAAGGCACTGAGCGACAAGGACATGGAGATTCGGCGGCTGGCCATGACGGCGCTCAACTCGGCGGCCAACAACAAGCCGGAACTCATCCTAGGCCACCTCAACGAGCTGCTGCCGTACATTATGGAGGAGTCCAAGCCGAAGCCGGAGCTGGTTCGCGAGGTGATGATGGGGCCGTTCAAGCACCTGGTCGACGACGGCCTTGAGGTGCGCAAGGGTGCGTATGAGACGCTGTACGCGCTGATGGAGACGGCGTTTTCGCGCATATCGATCATCAGCCTGTTCGACCGCATCATTGATGGCCTGGGCGATGAGCACGACATCCGGGCGATGTGCACCATCATGGTCAGCCGGCTGGCGTACATTGCGCCAGAGGAGACGACGAGACACCTCAACAGCATCGCGGACAAGTTCCGGGCGACACTTTCGAACAAACTCAAGGACAACGCGGTCAAGCAGGAGCACGAGAAGCAGGAGGATGCCAACAAGAGCGTGCTGCGGGCGACGCTGCTGCTGGCGGACCGGCTCAAGGCGGCGCTCAACGATGGCAGCTCGACGGTGGACGTGGGCGCGCACCAGACGTGGACGCAGTACTGGGAGTGGGTCAACCGGGCCTTTGAGGCGCAGCTGCGGACGCTGCGCAGCGAAAGCCGTGACAAGGGTGCGGCTTATTAGTCGAACGGCCGGCCCTCTCCGACCAGCGAGGAACGCCATCGGCACGCCGTGGAGGAGGTGGAGACTGCCATCAATAACGCGCTATCCAGTGGCGACCTCTTACTTTCGTATTATTGAAAAAAACAAGCAACATTACAGAGCGGAGGGGAAAGGAATGGTGGTAAGAAAAGGGGCTCAAGTATGAGTATCGACGTGATGAGACGCCTAAAGTAGCAACTTGCAAACGAGAGGAATAGGAATTCGATTCGAGTTTATGGTTTGCAAGAATCTATATACGTCGGTATCTTGACAAGGTCTGCGGCGTATATGCTTTGTGTAGTCCGTTGTATAGTCCCATAGTGCCTTGGCCGGCTGTACCATCTTGGCTTCTTGGCTTCAGCTTGCCCAGCCATTGCGGCACACTGCTCCCTCGCCGCGCCGAAAGGCCAAAGCCCGGTTCACGCCCCCTATGTGCGTCACGGCCGCGGCCAGCACGGCCAGATGCATCAGCTGGTGGCTTGCGCCCACGAGATCAAAGTGCCTTGGCCACCGGCGCTCCGGGAAATGCGTCGTGTACGCCACGAATCCCACCGCATTGCACAGCAGCGTGCCGATCACGCCGGGCCAGAGGTCGATGCGTGCTGCCCAGTCGGCCGGGTCGGCCTGTCGCATCCATACCAGGGGTCCCGCGCACGATACAGTGACAAAGCCCAGAAACAGTGCGGCGCGGCGGTGGCCGTTGGCCGGGCCCTGGACGGATACCCAGTGAAGCATGGAACGTATGGGGTAAATCAGCATACGGTAGAGGCCGTTGTCCGTAGCGGAGGTGCGGGGGGCAGAAGAGGTGCACGGGCCCGGACCCTCCTCCCAGGTGGTGGCGGCGGCGAGCGTGCCGAGGACAGCCGTGGCCACGTAAAAGGCCTGGCGCACGTAGGCGTGCTCGCAGGCGAGGCCAAAGTGGATGAGCGGGATGACGGCGCCGGCCATGAGGACAAGGACGCCCGTAATGTCCATGGCCATGCCGCGGGCCGCGCAGTCGGCGCTGTGGCACATGAGCGTGTGAAAGAGGGCGGACAAGCTGAAGCAGACAATGACGCCGAGCATGTAGGCCGTGGCAGCGAGCTTGTCGGCCGTCGAGTTGCCGCTGTTGGGCATCACGTCGCGCGTCTGGAGGGACGGCAGGGTCCAGGGCCAGGTGTCGAGCCAGAGGGTGACGGCGAGGCCGACAAAGGCGACGGTGCCAAAGGCATGGGAGAGAATGTTGACTGGCGACCCGTCAGGCTGGTTGTTCTGATTTTTATGTACAATCGGTTTAACAGGCGACTCACCAGACTCGTTGTGCAGATAGGTCCAGCTGTAGAAACAGGTCGAGTAGGACGCGTGGGCTTCTCTGGGAGGTGTCAGTACATCCGTGTGCATCCATTTGCCAGTCGATGAGATGCCGGAAGAAAGAATATACCGATAGCCTGTCAGGATTCGCTCGCTTCCAGGCCTATATTGATATTGCGCCAGACTTGTCAGTGGCGTAGAAACACCCGCTTGTCGAAATCGAGAGATCTCATATACACGTACTGCTGCCATGGCGCTACCAAGACGTTTGTCAGTCAGCCTATGGGAATGTATTGGACACAGTTGGTCATCCGGAACACGGTGGCTTACCCAGCTCGTCCCATGTTAAGAGATGGCGACGGCGAATGCGCAATGCCGTCTTGCTGCCCGCCCTCGGCCCCGTGGCTCCTGTTGTGGTCGCCGCCCGGGACGCCGCTTGTCGACTCTCGCGCAGCAGCTGGCGTGCGATACCGGCATCGCTGTCGTCACTCGAGCTACTTTTCCGTCGTAATCGCCGTCGTGTCGCCACACGGACTGGTGTCGATGTAGCACTGGACGTGGACGACGCTGTGCCCGATGCCAGCGCAGTCATTGTCGGACGGGACCAGGAGAAGAGCGGGAGGCGGGGGACGACTATGAAGAGCGGCTTTAGGCGGGCGGACAGCTGGTCAGAGGACAGGGCTACAGGGCTGTGTCAAAACAAGGTGAGGTTTTTAAGCTGTTGTTTATTTCGTGACAATTTTCCAGCAGACGGGGTCGCTCCTTCCGATTGTGAGGATGAGCCTGCACCTTGCGAAGCTCTTTCCTTCTGAAGAATTCCCATACAAAAGAGTATCCCCCCCCCCCCACAGGCGATACCGGAACGCATTGGATCCGCGAGGGGGCAGTCGACGCGGGATGCTGGCCGTGTCCATGTCCGAGCGTAAAACAATTGTGGTTCACGAACTGGTTCGACTAACGTCTGCAGTATTAATTATTCTGTTTTCACTACTAGGTGATTTGGTTAAACTAGGCTTTGAAAATAGGTAAGAGTTAAAAATAATATTGAGAAAGAAAACAAAGGTATTTTATTTTTATATTATTATGTCTCCCGTTTCTGTCATAAAAATTAAATAAAATAAACGAATTGTTCAAAATAAGATTTACTTCGCAAATAATAGTATAATTTTGAATAGCATTTGACAAATGGTAGATTATGTCGTCACTAGTATCATTATCTAGTTTGTGACATCGTCCGGCATGATCTCGCTTTCCTATATTCCTTGCCATCACCATCTCGTCCCCTTTGATGGTGCGGACATTCGGGAGCCCTCGACGCTCTCGAGATAGCCACCCCGCGCAGTGACGCGGAGGCCTGGCGGAAGAACTCGTAACACGATACAATCGAAATCTAAACTCTCACAACGTGTGTCCTGTCTTATCAGTACGTGGTATTGCCGACCTCGCGGTGAAACGTCCTGCCTCGGATGATCCGGTACTTGCGGATGGGCGAGATGGATGCCGTGGAGCCCAGGCTGTCACCGGCTCACGAAGACTTTGCGTCGTTGTCCAAGACACAAGCTGCATGCATGGCACTATACAAATAATTATCCGCAGGACGAAGCACATAACAAAATCAACCTCTTGATGACGCGTAGACATACTCGTCCGAGCGGTGTCTAGATCAGAGCCGGCTTTGTCTCCCAGGTGAGAGGCAAAGACCAGGACATTGCATTGCATGCAAGACTTTCACGGCTAGGAAAGGTCATGGTGTGGATCCTGACAAGAGCTGACAAGCACCGCTTGTCTCTTGTGTTCTTTATCTCGCCGACCGACCACATGTTTAGGGGGTCGCGTTGAGAGAGGATGGCGCTGTCCTGCAGAGAAGTGGAAATGCATGACGGGTCTGCAGAGCCGTATATTATTATTGCATGGCGACGCTGCTGCGAGGTGGGACAGATGTCTCTCCCATAAATATTGCTGTGGGTGTTTTGGGCAATCCTGCAGCTTTTTTTGGCTTGTGTGGGGTGAGATGCTCACTGTTGTGTCTCGTTCATATTCAGACATGCATCACCACTACATGCTAGCCGCTTCTGCACTTGCAGTGCGGCGTATCTAGCACATTGTCATAGAGCCGGTGACGCAAGGGACAATCCACGCTGGTCGAAAGCTGAAAAGGGCCTTCGTCATTTCGGTTTCCCGGAAACCAGGGAGATCCAAGGCTTTTACTTGTCGGTCCCCTTCCGGCGCGTGTTTTCCAATGGTTTGTCTTATGAGACTGGTTCTGGCCGTTGCTTGTAAAGCGTGATTCTTGACATTGTCCGTCGCTTGCGAGGAGCAAAACAACGCCACACTCCGAGATTGAGATATGGCAAGGAGCGTGGTGTTTCTGGGACAATATTCTGTGGCTTCCGCGTGGTTTCCTCCGGTCTCTAGGATCCGACAACGGTAAAGCCCTGGCGGCATTGCAGTTCGTGTACCGCGTAAGGCGCTGGAGTGGGTATTCTGGGGGATGTTGCATGGGTCTTTCAGTCTTGTCTGATTTTGTCGCCGTATTCGCAAGGCATGAACGGAGCCAGGAGTTGAGTGCAAGACCAACGGGGCAGGGCACGGGAATACCTATTGCGTATTTCGTACATGATCTCTCAAGCGTCACGCCGTACCCCATTCTCTTTCCCACAAAGTTTGCTGGGCAGAAGCTCGAAAAGGAACAGAACCAGGGCTCGTGCACAACCTTGGCGCTTCGAAACGCATTTTCTCTCATCGGCGATGGAGAGAGGGAGAATCCTGTAGCAAGAAAAAAAGGAGGCCCGGCGCAGGATGCTGCCCCTTTGTGGTGGATTCACGCTTGAGGCACGGTCGAATGGAGCACCTACGACGCCAAAAAGACGTCTGAAGTCGCCAGGGGGCCGACTTTGCACGTTGTTTGGTTAGCGCGCACCCTGCATCAACGCTTCGACGAAAGCCGGAAAACGCGCTTGTGCAGGAACCCACCGACAAGCGTCTTGTCTCGACTCGTGTTCACACACCCTGTCCCTTCTGCCGCCTTAGGTACCTAGCACCAGTATTTTGTACTCGAAGGTTTTTCTTTCTTTCTTCTTGCGCCCCCTTCTTCCGACTTGGCGAGTCGACATTGATTCGGGAGGTGGCAGTGCTGTTAGAGCCAGTCAGGGAGGAAGTAGATGGCCGACGCCCACTGAGTGACCAACGGCCAACAGCCACAACAAATAGATAATAGACAGGGCGCACCTCGATCCTTGGGCGATACGTTCTTCGAGAAACGCACTGTTTGCGTGTAGCGATTGGCCAACAACCAGACCAAGCTGAAAAGGTGAGCAAAACGGCTCCAAAGGGAGAGGATTGAGAATGGACTTGAGGGTTGCCTTAGACGAACGGGGCTTAACCTGTTTGATGCTCGCAGCCTCCACAAGCCCAGGAAAATGGTCGTGCGTGAACATTAACATCCACAGCATGCTCGTGTCTCTCCCATTGCGAGGTGTTGACTTTATCGTGTCTTGTGGGCCTGGCGTACGAAGTATAAATACGTCGTGTCAGTTTCTGTGTTTGGGTTTGCGAACAAGTGGAAAAGCAACGGCAAAGCAAAAGCTGTGGGATGCCACGACTGACCTGTAGCAAATCAGTGGTGCCGTCACTGTTGTGAGCCTGCCTTTGCCTTCCCTCGTGTCGCCATTGCCTCAATCTTTGCTCTCGCC